CCAGTTTTCTGATGTAGGCACTTAGAGCTATAAACGTCCCTCTAAGGACAGCCTTCAGCGTGTTCCAGAGGTTTTTTTTGTGCGTTGTACTGTCCTTTTCCTTTAGTTCCAGGAATACATTTATTTCTTTCTTAATTTCCCTTTTGACCTATTCATCATTCAGGTGTGTTGTTTAATCTCCATGTGTTCACGTGGTGATTAGGGCTTCTTCCAGTGTTGATTTTAAGCTTTATTGCATTGTGGTCTGATAGAATACATGGAATTATTTTGATCTTTTTGTATTTGTTGAGATTTGTTTTGTGCCCAAGTATATGGTCAGTTTTGGAGAAGGTTCAATGGGGTGCTGAGTAGAAAGTATGTCCTTTGGTGCTTTGGTGGAATACTCGGTAAATGTCTGTTAAGTCCATTTGATATATAGTATTGTTTAATTCAGATGTCCCTCTGTTAACTCTCTGCCCTGTTGAACTATCTAATGGAGGCAGTGGGTATTGAAGTCACCTACTATTAATGAGTTGGGATTAATCTGGGTCTTAAAGTCCTGTAATATTGTTTTTATGAAGCTGGGTGCACCAGAGTTTGGTGAATATATGTTCATGATTGTAATATCTTCTTGATTCATTGTTCCTTTGATCAAAATGAAGTGGCCCTCTTTGTCTCTTATTAGTTTTAGTGTAAAGTCCATTTTGTCAGATATTAGAATTGCTACGCCTGCTTTTTTCTTAGTGCCATTTGTTTGGTATATTTTTTTTCCATCCTTTCACTTTGAGCTAGTTCTGTCCTTGAAAGTGAGATAAGTTTCTTGCAGACAACAAAAAGATGGGTTTTGTTTCTTAATCCATTCATATAGTCTGTGTCTTTTGACTGGGGAGTTCAGTCCATTAATGTATAAAGTTATTAATGAAAGATGAGTATTGAATCCTGTCATTTTTTTTCTTTATATTCTTACTATAGCTGTACTTTTACACTGTTATTCTCTCCTTGGATTTCTTTCTGCAACCCCTTGGGTATAATCATTCCTTTCTTCAGTTCTTTGTATTGCTCCCAGAACTCTCTGAAGGGCTGGTTTTGTGGACAAGAATTCCTTCAGCCTATTTATGTCATGGAAGATTTTTCTTTC